GGGGGAGGTGCAGGCCGCGGGGGCTCTGAGGGGATTTTGGGGTGAATCGGGGCGAATTTCCGCCTTGGGGGGGCAGCGCGCGGGACATGGAGGGTTTGGGGGGTGGTCTGAGCGCAGTGGATCCCTGGGAAACCCGTTCCTCGGGTCTCCCGGGTTTTTCCCGCAAGGCTGATCCCGCGCGGCGCCTCAGGGATGAGTTTCCCCTGGGATAAGAGCAACCCGGGTGATAAAAACCCAGTGTGAATTCATTCTCGGGCGAATTCACCCGTTTTGGGCACAGAAATCTCGTGGTGCTGGCCCAAAACGGGAGCGATTATTTTCCTTTTCCTCCCAAAAACACAAAGCTTTTGCCAGCACGTCTCCCAAACCCAAGAGGAGTTTCTTTAAAGCACCTTTTCTCTAATAAACGCCTCAAATATTCACATGCCGTGCTGCTCATTGCCAATAGCACAAAGTAGGCCAGATGTTTTTCCCTTAATAGTTACAGGATTCCACGTTTATCCCAGAATCCCAGAATGGTTGAGGTTGGAAGGGACCTCTAGAGACCATCTAGGCCAAACCCCTGCTCAAGTTTATGTAGGATTTAAGTTAACAGCTTTAGTAAACTCGTGTGTAGTTGTTAATGCTCTCGGTAAGATGAACTGCTGAAATAATAAGAACAGGGCTTTTGCTAAATTTCTTTCACTTTTTTTTTTTTTAAATCAGGTTTTAATAAGATTTGATAATTACCTTTCTGTGGTGCTCGTTTGGGAGGAAAAACTATTTTTTTTTATTATTAGCTATTTATTGGCTAACTAGCTTGGAATAGAAACACTTCCTGTCTGTATCTTTCTTCTCCTGGTCACTGAAGGCAAATTCAGGCAGTTTATTATTTCCCTTCATTAAATGTAGGCTCCCAGCCCTGGTTTGGATGGGAACCCATAATCTCAGATGCTCTAAAACAGGGGCAAAGTTAGAAGAGGGGATACTGGGCCAGAAGGATTTGGGGATGAAAACAGAGAATTTGGTCAATTTGGGGATGAAATGGGTAAGCCAGAGCTCTTGAGTGCCTCCTACTTTATATATATATATATATTCAGAAAATTATAGTTTATTTCCGTGTCTGGTGCATGTGTTGGGGCAAAATATTTTAATATTTGGTCTTTTCAGAATGGTGAGGCCTTCAGGTTGATACAGCTTTCTAAAGAAATGTCACTTTTCTCCACTGGATGGTGCTGCTTGCCCAGAATTCCTTAATATCTCTTAGCATCAACCCAGAACATTGGCATTGACTTCAGAGCTGAACTTTGGAGCTGGAAGAGAGTGGATTTTAAAAAGACCTCTGTGAGCAAACAGAAAAATTGTAGGCTAAATACCTTATTATTCTTATTTTGGAGAGAGTAGAAGATTTTATAGTTGCTGTATATGACATGAGGTTCCTGGTTTTTCTTAGGTACCTTTGATAAATCCAAGCAACTTTCGCAGGTTTCCTGCAACTAGCTAGTGATATTCGAAAATAAGACTGCATTAATGTGTTGGAAATGTGAGGAATAATCCACTATGGTAGTTACAGTTTCAAAGTACATGGATTAAAAGTGCTGGGAAGAAGAAGGTCTCCTAAAAATTCAAGCTTGAGAAATCTTTACATTAATAAACGTCCTTGTGTTTTGTTACCGGAGTTTTTCTGGGAGTAAAATGTTTTGGTTCAGAGCTATTCAGGGAAATAAATCAAAATGAACTTTTAAAGTGGATTAGTTGAACTGCATCAAGCACTTACGTTTGGAAATTAATTTAAATTCACACGTTCAGTTGACATGGATTGTGTCTGCTGCGTAGACAAATCCTTAGCTACACACTGTGCTTTGCAAATGTGTGGGTTGCATTGGCTTTAATTCGGTGGGATTTGCAACCCCATCACCCGGGGAACTATTTACAAGAGTAAAATAGTAGATGAACGAAGTGAGTGTGATGTTAAGGGCAGATCAGGACAAGGAGGAGGAATTTGGGTTTAGTGACTTGCTCCTTGAAAGGGATGGTAGGAATGTGAAGCCGATTGCCCCAAATTCCTCACCGATTCTCTCAAACCCACCCTGAGCGAGCGAGGGGTTCCTGGTGGGTATTTGCTTCTCCGAGGGCTGCGTCATGGAATTAGGTCAATCTTTTGCCTGCGGAGAACTGGACCAAATGAGCTCCGTGTGGATTTCCCTGGCAGCGCTGAGGCATTTAGGCTGTAAAATCCTTTTTAGAGGCTGTTTGATGTTTTATGAAACTCTTTATCAGACTCTTACTTTTTAAGTGATTGCTCTACCAAGCCTCATTTGAGCTTTGAAGCTTCAGAAGAGTTTTTTTTAAAACAAAACACAACCACGCTTTTTAGTCGTATTAGTTTTTATTGCAGAAAGAACCAAGATGAGGCTAAAAATAAATTGAACATCCCTATAATATTCCCTTCCTCTGGTCCAGGTTGCAAATACTG